CTAGACGAAATCGAAGTAGTAAATTTGGGAAACGCCGAGACAGTCAAGGAGACTCGCATCAACATTCACTTATCATCAACAGAGAAGGAGGAGTACATTCGTTTATTAAAGGAGTGTGAGGACATTTTCGCATGGTCGTATGATGACATGGCCGGTTTGAGCATGTCCATAGTGGCTCACAAGTTGCCTACTAATCCCATGTGTCCGCCAGTGAAGCAGAAACTCATAAAATTCAAACCAGATATGAGCCTGAAAATCAAGGAGGAAGTTACTAAGCAGATCAAAGCCAAAGTTCTCAGGGTTGTTGAGTACCCAACCTGGTTAGCCAACATTGTACCAGTTCCGAAGAAAGATGGGAAAGTTAGAGTATGTGTTGACTATCGGTATTTAAACAGAGCAAATCCCAAAGATGACTTTCCACTGCCAAATATACACATCCTGATTGACAACTGCGCCAAGCATGAACTTCAATCCTTTGTGGATTGCTTCGCAGGCTATCACTAGATTTGGTTGGACGAAGAAGACACAGAGAAAACCACTTTTATTACACCATGGGGGGGGTATATGGCTACAAGATAATGCCATTCGGTCTAAAGAATACTGGGTCTAACAACATGAGAGCCATTACAACCATCTTCCATGATATGATACACAAAGAAATAGAGGTGTATGTGGATGACGTCATTATCAAATCCAAGAGGGCCGCAGACCACATAGCAGACTTTAGAAAGTTCTTTGACAGGCTAAGGAGGTACAACTTGAAACTGAACCCCCCAAAGTATGCATTCGGGGTTCCCGCAGGAAAGTTACTGGGATTCATTGTCAGTCGTCGAGGGATCGAGTTGGATCTGTCTAAAATCAAAGCTATTTAGGAATTTCCACCACCTAGGAGAAAAAAAGGACATGATGAGCTTCCTAGGACGTCTCAACTATATCAGTCGCTTCATAGCACAGTCCACAATCATATGTGAATCTATCTTCAAGATGCCGAGACAAATTGGACCGAGGATTGTTAGAAATCCTTCGACAAAATCAAGGAGTACCTATCCACACCACCAGTTTTGGTCCCGCTAGAGCCGGGGCAGCCTTTGCTACTCTATCTATCTGTGTTGGATGGAGCCTTCGGATGTGTTATGGGACAACATGACGAGACAGGAAGAAAGGAGCAAGCCGTATACTATTTGAGTAAGAAGTTCACACCTTACGAAGCACGGTACTCTCTGCTAGAGCGCACTTGCTGTGCTTTGACTTGGACGGCCTAGAATTTGAGGCATTACTTATGTGCCTATACTACATACCTCATATCCAGGATGGACCCTTTGAAGTACATATTTCAGAAACCTATGCCAACTGAGAAGCTAGCCAAGTGGCAGATACTGTTGAATGAGTTCGATATCATCTACATAACTCAAAAGGCGGTCAAAGGGCAAGTATTGGCATATCATCTTGCTAAAACTCCGGTGGGAGGAGAATACAAACCCTTGAAAATGTATTTTCCTTATGAGGAGGTATCATTCATAGGAGAGGACATTACCGAAGCATACGACGGTTGGAGGATGTTCTTTGGCAGAGCTGCAAACTTTAAAGGAGTGGGCATTGGAGCAGTTTTGGTATCGGAAACGGGCCAACATTATCCGGTATCTGCTAAACTCAGGTTTTCCTGCACAAACAACATGGCAGAATATGAAGCCTATATACTAGGACTCAACATGGCAATCGACATGAATATTCAGGAGCTGCTGGTAATTGGTGATTCAGATTTGCTTGTGCACCAGGTACAAGGAGAATGAGCCACCAAGAATTCCAAGATATTGCCATATCTACACCATGTACAGGAATTGAGAAATAGGTTCACAAAGATAGAGTTTCAGCATGTTCCCAAAATTCAGAACGAGTTTGCCGATGCTTTGGCCACTTTGTCATCCATGATACAACATCCAAATGAGAATTTCATTGATCCCATCCCAGTGAGAATCCATAATCAACCGGCTTACTGTGCTCATGTCTAGGAAGAAATGGATGGAAAGCCTTGGTTCCATGACATCAAGGAGTATTTGGTGAAAGGAGAATATCCGGAGCATGCAAACCACACTCAGAAATGCACACTCCTGAGATTTTCCCATCACTTATTCCACAGCGGAGGAAATTTGTATAGAAGAAATCCTGATTTGGGATTGCTAAGATGCCTCGATGCAAAAGAAGCTTCTAAACTACTTGAGGATACACATGCTGGGACCTGCAGCCCGCACATGAATGGTTTTGTCTTGGCCAAGAAGATACTTAGGGCCACACCCTCGGACATTGGCTCCTAGTTTGCTGCAGCTAGAGCACATGTCCTCACCATCTATGAGAAAATAGAGAGTAACGATTAATACTTTATGATAGAACAGAGTCACACGATAGATAAAGAAAGAAATTAAAGTTTCCTAAAAGCCTATAACCGCTCGAAGATAAGTACATACATCTCTGTATCGATCCTCAAGACTCTGTCAAGCTTGCTCATGACTCGTGAGACCTATGCAACCTAGGGCTCCTATACCAACTTGTCACGACCTAAAATTTCAACCAAGGAAGTGGTGATGGCACCTAACACCTCTTTATAGGCAAGTCAACACCTAATGATAATAAGAGATACAAATCCAACATTAAACAATATAGTATCATAAATATAAGTAAGGCTCAGAAATCACATAACTAGTTTAAACCAATACAATTTTCTAATATCCTCCCAGGACTGATGTCACTGAGTACATGAGCTATAAGATTAAAAAACACAAAGTAAAATAAAGTATAATTTTGTCTAATACTATAAATAGTAATAAAGAGAGTGAACGTGACTTCAAAGTTTGTAAACGGGTGTGCAACACTACCTCAAGTCTCTTGAAGTCCAAGCTATGCACCCCTCTGAATACTGCTAGGGCCCATAACTGAATCTACATAAAAAGTGAAAAAGTGTAGTATAAGTACAATCAACTCAATGTAGTCAGTAAGTATCGAGCCTAACCTCGATAAGTTAATGGCTAGGTGCACTTACCATGTAAACCTGTACAATTAATAAGCAATAGAAATGGCGAGATAAATAACTATAGTAATAACAAGAATAAAGGCAAAAGATATAAATGGATTCAATAAAAAAAATTCATAACCACGTTTCTCAAATAAAAACCAAAAAACCTTTCTCAACAGCTCAAATCAACAAGGATAAAACGATATTCGCGAACAGCATAGCCAAAACCCACATATGAGAAAAATATCATAAGTCAAACACTAATATTCATAACATATATTTTGTGATGCACAACCCGATCCAACACAAAAGATGTTGTGGCAACAACCCAATCCTCTATATTATTGCGCCGAGCATCTCGATCCTATCATAACAATATTGTAGCGATAACCTGATCCAATATACCAATTCATATGGAAACACATAATAAGCAACCAAGTATGGGAAAATTCATAACATAACATAAAACAAGACGAATACGCATAATTTACTAAGGAAAAATGAACACGTACAAAGAATGATATGCAATCCAATATCCAAGAGCTAGCCTCACACATATATCCCAACAAGGACTCCAACAAGTCATTAACACGTGAACCATCAAGTAGTCATATAATCCTACATAGCATATGAGAATAAGTCATGAAACAAATAAAGACATAAATCAAGTAAATTCACGAGACAAGTAAATACATGTAACAAGTAAAGGCATGAAACAAGTAAATGCATGTAACAAGTAAAGTAATGAAACAAGTAAGGCATGAAATGAGTAAAGGCATATAACAAATAGAGGCATGAAACAAGTATGACATGGAATGAGTAAAGGCATGCAACAAGTAAAGTCATGAAATAAACTAGTTCTTCCCGCATGTTTTAACCCATGACAATGCATGTACCCTCGTCACCTTGCATATACGCCACCCCCAACACATAAAACACGTAGAAAATAGATCCAGTTACATCCTAATTCCCTCAAGTCAAGGTTAACCACGATACTTACCTCTTTTTTAGGAACAAATCAACAATTGAAAACCGCTTTTCTTTTAGAAAAAACTTCCAATCAGCTCGAATCTAGTTAAATAATGCTAAAATAAGTCAAAACAAACTTAAGGAACCCTCTTAGTACTAAAAAAAATCTTTAGAAAAGTCAACAAAAAATCCACCCGGCTCCACTTGGTCAAAATCCGAAATCAAGACCAAATACCGATTACACATTCATCCCGAGTCTAAATATGTGATTAGTTTCGGGACCTGACCTTAAATCGAGGTCTAAATCTCTAAAACTCAAAATCTTAAGTTACTACCCTAAAATCCTATTTCTACTCTTCGAAATCCTAGATTTAGGGTTAAAAATCTATGTGGAATAATGAAAATAATTAAAATAAAGATAGAATACCTTAACTATAAAGTTGGGAAGAAAATCCTCTCGAAAATCGCCTCTTTGCGTAGTCTAGGTCTAAAAATGGAATAAAATGAGCTAATTTTGAAATCCTTTTTTATATATTTAAGTTGTAGATATGACAATTGTGAACTAAAGTAAAGTTCACAATTGCACAACCCACAAATGTGAACCAGTGATTGCAATTGCAAAGTGGTACCTGAGCAATTAAAGTCTCAAATGCAACAGTGTCTTTGCAATTACGAAGGTCGCAAATGCGATCCAATTGCAAAGCTGCCTTCCCCTTCCCAGACTTCGCAAATATGAGTTAGAAATCATCGTTGCGAACCTCGCATTTGCGAGCAGCTCATCAAAATTGCAATGACTGCAACACCAATAACTGCCAGACGTACTAAAACAACCTGAAACCAATTTGAAACTCACCCGAGCCCCTCTGCCACATATCTAATATCCATACAAGTATAATATCCTTAAACAAATCGTTTATAAGCTCAAAGAATCAACTAATATAAAAATTCAAGAATCAAGCATCAAAACTCAAGAATCCACATGTTCAAAACTCAAATTTCTAACTTTCAACTATAAGTGCCGAAACTGCCTTGGGTCACCTGGGACCCAACCAAATATATGTACAAGTCCAAAACTATCATACGAACCTACCAAAATGGTCAAGTTACCGATCTGATGTCGTTTACCAAGAATGTTGAATATGGCCAACTTCAACAATATCAAAACTCTAATATAAATATTTCTTTATTAAAACACATTAAATAGAGCTATTCAAAGTCTTAAATCATGAAACAGTAAGTTAAAACTCAAAGCAATTTATCGGGTCATTACAAAGGACATATCTTCCTTCTCCGTGTCCCTCCCCGCCAGGGTTTGTGTTAACCTCTCAATCTCTTTTTCTTGCTTGTGTAGAATTGCGCTGCTCCTTGCGATTCTAGTATGAAGTTCTATCGCCGCCAGGTTAACCTACAAAACGTAGGCTATTAGGAAAACAAAAAGAGAGTAGGAGCCAATTAGGAAAAAAATGTTTAGCACTATACCTTGAACCCTGAGTATGCCACGTGATTAGCAAGTGCCTCCATCAAATATTTGTCCATGTACTCTCATTCTAGAGGCCCGATAAAACCTTTGAACCATAGAGCAACCTTTTTGGTCCTACGGAAGACGTTCACGTCAAAGGGAATTTCCACAAACACCTACCTTATTGTGGTGGTAGATTCTTCGGGTACCAAACATGGGGACACATCAAGTGAGGTTTCAAAATAAGTTACCATGTCCAACTTGGGGAAGTCGTGCGCCAGAAACAAAAACCCCTCTAGAAGGACTGCGGTCGTCTTGCTAAAATTCTCGCACAGAAACACCATAGCTCCTTCCCTCGATGCCATCGACTCTTTGCCGGATCTCCACCTCAAGGGAAATTTTGGCTTGTCATCATCCTCCATAAGAGGACTATTCTCCTCCCTTTTCTCTTGGGCCCCCTTCTTAGAGCTCTTATTCTTTCTCTGTTTCATGGGCTTAGGGGAAACTCCCCCTCACTGGCTTTCCTCTTCGGCGGGGGTACTTGGTGGACGGGATCTTGAGGAACTTCAAGACCTAGAACTTCAACCTACACCGATGATCTCCTTGATCCGGTAGCTATTTCAGTAGAAGATAAATGTTAGGGATATCAGCAAAGAAGAAAAACTAAAGTACCCTTGGGTTGAAATACTCATGCCATGATTTTTTGGCTCCCATCCTTTCGTGAGAGAAATCACTTTTCACGTCCTCACCTCCATGGTTGTTGACTTCAAATTTTGTCGACCCACTCTTCCATATCTGAGAGCGGACCGGTGATGAAATCCAGAGCGATTGTCCATCATACAAGTCAGAATATCTTGCTCAAGAAAGACAAATAATAAATAAGTAAAAAAAAAAGAAGCTACACTTGAAATTCCACTCTTTCGAGAAGGGGAGGTCGCTTTCGCTCAAGATTTCTCGGGTAGGTACTTTAATGAACCTCTCCTACCATTTTCGGTTGAATAATCCTCTGCATTGGAAAGAAGAGAACAAGTGTACCAACTCGCCAATATTAATATTGACCCCTTATAAAGCTTAAGTAAGTAGATTTGAATAAGATGCTTTAAAGAAAAGCTTTCTCGTACCTTCTCGACAAGGAACCTCAAGCATGTCCTTGATCGCCAGACGTTTAGCCCCAATTGACCTAGGCAACTGTTATGCGCCTTATAAAGGTCCTCGATCACTAGATCGGTGGATGGTACAAACACGAGGGTGAACGGGTAGATGAATATAAATGGAAAACCTTCTCGATAGGTGGTTATGTTCTCACCTACTTCAAGAAGAGAAGCTTGAACCTTACCTTCCCAGGCATAATCTCGTAGTACTGCCAAAAGATGCTTCTCTTACAAAGCTAATGGAAAAGTTTTAATCACCCTTTTTGGAGTAATGCTCTTGTAGCCAACTGGACCAATGAGATGGAGCATCTTCAGAAGAACCTTTGAAGTTTTTGGTTCACTTTATTCCTTCTTGCTCATGCCTGCAACCTTAGAGGCTTTACCCTTCTTAGTAGAGGCTGGCTCCAATCCCTTGCAGGCGTGGTAGTTGGAACCACCTCGCTTTTATTGTGGGGTCGATTATCTATTTCCCACTATCGTGGGAGGTTCTCATATCGCTACTTCTCCTAGTGAGGACAGGTAGTTCTTCCACCATATATCCTTCATGGCCGTGGGGAGAGAAGTGACAACAACAATCTTAATGGAGGAGGTTATTTCGTGAGCCCTAAATAAAGCATTGGGAGAAGAAATTGGAAGTTGTTATGGTAATATGAGAAAAAACAAGAAGTAAAGAGCTCAAAGGTTTCTTAAGAATAGCAACAATAGAGTTTGGAAAATTTCAGGAAGGAAGTTCGAGCAAAAGATATTAAGGACAAAGGAAGAAGATAGTTCTTATAGGTGAGATCATCATGACCTTGGTAATCGCTATGGCGTCAAAAATCGTTAACGTCTGCCACGTGTCTGGAACTTCAAATGGAATCGACTAGACATATTTTCATATTCAAAAATGATGATAGTTGCATGGTAATTCCATCGAAAAATCCTTCTGTAATACGCCAAATATCATACCGCTTCCCGAATATTTTTTAGAATTTTTCATAAAATAGGAGAACTATCTGTATTGGTAAAATCTGGCTATGACATGTAGATAGATTGCATGATGATACAATATTACTTGGAAATGATTTTATCTGAGGAATAAAATAGTAGCGGAACTCTATCTCTGCAGAAAGTGTCTCTGACCCGGTAACTCCTTCCCGGGGAGACGAGAGCCATGTCTTGGTGAAGTGCCCCAAAGATGGTTCTGTAGATCCATCAGTGAAGTAATAGTTCGAGATCTGACTTGGTCCTCGACCGTCCCTAGAATATTAGGAATCCACTCATTTTCATTATGCTAGATACTCCTCCCATAACCGGTAAATAACTCTGTGATTACGAATTGCTCAGAGCGACGTGCGAAAGTAGGATGCGCATGTGAACGTAAGACTTAGGCTATAAATACCCCCCACTCCCCTTTCTTGTAACTCATTCAGATATGATCGAACTTACTCATCACTAAAGGCTATTGTATTTTTGCTGGGCAATCTCTCTTTACTTTACAGGCATTGCGGCTCATAACGAAACTCAGTAGGATCATTATTTCTTTTGGTTATTTAGTTTTATTGCTTTATTTTACAACTTAATTATCCTAATTCTAGGATTCATTCGGCTAAGCTTTAATTCAAACCGGTTGCTAGTGACCATACTAAATATAAAATTAATTATTTTATCCTGAAATTATTTCTGAGTTAAACATGTAGGATTTTGAACATAAAAAAGGTGCAGGGGTTGATAGTTGATCCTCGAATTTCTACATAAAATAATTTGTATTTTCATGATTAGATAAAATGGATAAATTTATCCTTTTATATTAAAAAAATATTTTCAATGGTTCTTAATACTCTTTATTTGGTGTATATGATTTGGAGAAATAAATAATATTTTTGACATTTTTAAAGTAGGACCCACAAATTATGGCATATTAAAGAATAAAAGGCTTAGTACATGACGTGTCAGTCATGTCATAGCCAGTGAAAGTACGTTCAGTCGGATGTGTTTATTAGTAGTATTCAGTTCATCAAGTAGAGGTATCTAAATGAAAAAAATAAAAATCTATATACCGGTATGACAAATCGGTACAAGTATAATGACTACAAAGTCGTTTTGCCTACTTTATACTATCAAGTTAACTTGCTTGCAACACGAAATTACTGTAGTAACAAGTTCCATACACTAATTCAGATAATTTAGCCTAATAGATTAAAATACGACAGTTTACAAATTTTTGTATGGATGTATATAAGTTTAATCCTACTATATAGTACATACAACATTGGATTGGGATTCCAGGTCGATACAATAAGTCAGATAATTTAGCCTAATAGATTAAAAAAATGATAGTAGTTTACAATTATTCTATAGATGTATATATACAACATTGGATTGGGATTCCAGGTCGGACAAAATCAGCAAAGTACGACAGAATGTCATTTCAAGAAGTAGAAGACATATTTAAGAAATTGGGCCACCTTATTTCTCATCTCTTTTCTTCAAGAATTTTGCAGCTATGGCAACTTTCAAGCTAAGATCACTTTTGGGTCTCCACAAATGGAGGCCCAAGTTATTGGTTTGTTCAGATTCACACTTTTCTCCATTTCGCAGCTACTCTTCACTGAATGACACATCACTTTTTGGAGTAAGTTTTTTTTTTTCTTTTTCTGAGTTACTATTTTGCTATATTTTCCACTTTTGAGCTCCAAGAAATTACACTTGACCTCCCTTTGACAATAGTTGAACTGGGTAGTTTTCTGTTCTACTTAAATTAGTTGCTGGGGAACTAGAAATGGCTTTTGGAACTATATTAATTTAATATGATTATTTGAAGATTTTGGACTATGGTTCTTTTTCTGTAAAATTGGTTAATGATTTTCCTTTTTCCTACTGTTTTATTCTCCTAACCTTAACTGAAAGTGATCACTGTGTCTTTTGAATATGTTCCTAGTGCTATCTTTATCCCAAATATATACTGTAAATTTCATGTATTTTATGGTGTTATGGCTTTTACTTGCAATATTTTCCAATGCAGCTCTGTTTCAGGTTTGCTAGTAATGTTATTATTATCTGGATCTTCTACAGAGAATTGGATTCATAGGACTTGGAAACATGGGATCAAGAATGGCCGATAACTTGATTAAGGCTGGATACAATCTTGCTGTTCATGACGTGTAATTCTTTCAACTTTCAATCACCTTTTTTTCCAATGGCTGCTTAATGATCAGTCTAGTTGAGTTTTCTTTTTTCCATTACATAACGATGGTTGTGAAAGGGAAAGGGAAAGGGGAAGGGGAAGGGGAACAGTGAGAATTGAACCCAATTTTAATTTGAGAAGAACTCTTATAAGTACCACTAGATTATAAGCCTTGGTAATATCACAATTCAACGTAGTTCAATACTTAATTGGATCTAAACTAATATCGTTTGGAGTAAGAAATCTCTACATTGTAGGACACTCTTATATGTCGGATTTTGGTGAAGCACAATGTAGAAAAGGGTGGTTGAAAATAGGAATACCTTTATTGTTGATGCTTTCTTTAATTAAAAATGATTGGTTAGATCCAAATCAATCTGTATGAAGTTTGCTTGAGCTTGAGTTCCTCAATTGGTGATTGTCAGCAATCATAATGTTATGAAGATGTTTTCGGACAAAGGTGCACTCGCGGAAGACTCGCCTTTGAAAGTTGCTGAGACAAGTGATGTCGTTATTACAATGTTACCATCATCAAACCATGTGAGATTTGGGTACCATTTTGTATAGCTCTTATTATTTCAAGCACTTATATTACTAAGGCTGATTGATCATCCTGAATGCCTCGTCATTGTTGTTGACGATGAGTTGGACATGTTAGAGTATTTGTCATAAGAATTAATATTTCATTATTCATACAGGTTCTGGATGTTTATACTGGTCAAAATGGTTTGCTTAGTGGTGGTAATCCACTCAGACCATGGCTATTTATTGATTCTTCTACAATTGATCCTCATACATCAAGAAAGGTCTCTGCAGATGTGTGTAATTGTTCTTTGATTCACAAGAGAGGTACATTAAGTAATAACTTGAAATTAACTTTACGATTTATGCCTAGTGTTGATAGAGCATTTGATATATTTAACTACCAAATGTTTGGTCATAACATACTAATTTATTGTATATTAAGGACATATCAGTATCTGCTTGCATCTGTCACCCAAAATACATCCAGGGAGACAATAAAACAAAACAAACATACCCCTTTCTCATTTTCTGAACATCCCTTTCTCATACAATATCTGTGACAAATGTCTTCTCTTGCTAACTTATTCAACCAACGGCCCAAAAGCATGGTGTTCAAAAATAGTTTTATACGAAAATGGGGGAGCATATGTGCATGTGTCCCTGTGGTTTTATTGGGATGGTATGTCTGGTAATGTTCCCATGGTAGTTTCTCCCTCTTCGTCATATCATCGTGGCCGTCTGTCCGCGTTGGGTGCAATAATATTCCAGTAACTTGGTTCTATTTGAGGAAATACAAAGTCAAACACATGCATTATATTGAGTGAAACTTAATGCATATTGGTGCTGATTTTAGTGCCAATATGTTTGAGCCTAGGTTATCTTATTTGTGGATAAAGTTTCTTCAGCATGAGCAGTTTCTTCTATGACGAGAATTTCATGTAATCTTATGAATATAAAGTCTGTTGATCAAGTTGTTAACTTGTCCATCAAAAGATTGAAGTTCTCATAGTGACATGCATTTTCAGCTTGCTTGCAAGATAAGATCGATACAATCTGACTTGAGGAAGATTTTCAGAGGATTGTAGCCTGTGTTAACCTGTTACCGTTTTGGCATAAAAACAAAGCTTACTTGCATCATGTGGAATGACTTGTTTTTTTTCCTATCTTGGGTAAAGATTATAGTCAAATGATGTTTCAGTCTTTTAGCAAATTCACCATTGTCTTTGCAGATGGCTGGAAGACTCCTGCTATGTTGGATGCTCCAGTATCTGGCGGTGTTCTTGCCGCAGAGAATGGGACTCTTACTTTCATGGTAATTATACAATCTAAGCGGTTCTTAAGTGACTGGTTTCGTGGTAATTTCACACCCACGCGCGTCTTAGGTGACTGACTGTAAGATATTCATTCTATAATTGACAGTTTTGCTGTTTCTCTGTTAAGTCTCAATGCCTTCAACAGATTTAGAAGCTCATAAGCCATGGTCTCTTAAGATTCATGTACTAGTAGTAGTAGTTGTTGTTGTTGGTTATGCGAAAGGAGTAAACACTTAATGTACCTTAGTTCTTTTCTGAACTATCAATCAAATATTTATCCCACCTCCAGTACATTACTGCAAGAAGAATTAATTCATTTTACATTTCATAACATACAATTGGGAGTATATGAACCTTTTGCCTTTCTGTTGACCAAGTTATATGTAGTTTGGACGTTGAATTATTCAGAGATGTTAGATGTGGAAAATTCAAATCATAGCACACATTATCTGTGGTTACATATGGCATTCCAATGAAAAGCTGGATTATGAAATACAGGATTTCCTTTTGTTTTGGTTGGTGGGACTGGTGAAGGGGGGCTCCTTTTGTCTTATCAGAATTACCTGGCTGGATGACGGACATGTTTATGGATATCACTTATGAGGAGATTATAATGCTATTCCAGACAGAAAAATCTCTGTTTTACTTTCTGGCTTCTAAGGTGAGATTCCCATTGCTTTGAGCTGATAAGCTACATATGCATGTAGGTTGGTGGTACAGAGGAGGCTTACACGGCTGCCAAACCCTTGTTTCTCTCAATGGGCAAAAACTCTATTTACTGTGGTGGATCGGGGAATGGTGCAGTATGTCCTGAACCTTTACAAACTTTTGCACTTTGAATTGTACATGTCTGCTGAGTGCTGATAAATACTACGAAAGCCAATTCCTTTTTTTTGTTCCTTATGTTATATGTTGTTTTCCCAGGTTTGAATTGATTAAACACTGAGGTAAGTGGAAGTGATAAAACTATACGATGTGAATCATTTAAAACAGTTTAATATGTCCAGCTTTTTTGCATCAGATTAGGTAGCAGGGAGTTACTTTCTATGACTTACATTCAGTAGCATATGGAAGATTTTGCGCAAACAGTGTCAGCATATTGTCACAATTAAGCTTCTAAGTGGTTTGGGCTTGGGACTGTAGTGATTTTAAGACTTTACTTCCTGTCCCAAATTAACATTAACTTTGTATTGTTTTCAAGCAGTGTCTTGTTCATGTGGGTGTATATCTATTTAAAGTTACAAGATAATATTCCTCAAATCCATTTCTGTATACAAAAACCATGTAAAAAAAGTTACCGTTGCATTAACTCTTTTTCTTTCTCAGACTGCAAAGATCTGCAACAATTTGGCGATGGCTATTAGTATGCTTGGGGTGTCAGAAGCCTTTGTTCTTGGTCAGTCTTTGGGCATTGCAGCTAGCACTCTAACAAAAATATTCAATTCTTCAAGTGCTCGCTGTTGGAGTAGGTACTCACTGCAACCTGGTACTAAGTGAACTATTATAATCCATAATAAGACAACGTCCTTCTGAAAAAGCCTATTTGCATGAAAAATAATCTGCTTTAGTAAATATTTGTCCTCCGGACAATGTTCCAATAATGTGTATTAGGACATTCATTATATTATCTGCGGCAAAATGCACATTCACTTAGTAAATAAAATCTGCTTTAGTAAATATTTGTCCTTTATGTTTACTAAGTGAATGTGCATTTTGCCGCAGTAAAATAATTGCAGGAAATCTAACTTATTTAATGCAGCCTATTAGGTAACGTCAAGCGACTTCATAGGCCATCCTATTCATGGAAAAAACTTACTCACACCTGATGTTCACACCAACTGATGAATACTGACACATGTCTTTTACATATTTTATCACGTAACCATGGTTAATTAACATGTATTCTCACCTCAATTTATCACTTAACCATATTTAACAATGAATAAACTAATGTTATTTGGTGTAAACACCGGGTGCGGGTTAGTATTTTCTTCCTATTCACCCAATATTATGAAGTACACGCCTTTCTCCTCTGCTTTTCTTTTGAAGAGAAAAGGCTAGGAGCCTCTTTCTTCACTCTCAATCTATCTTTCAGTGAAAGAACCTGCATTTCTGAAACTATATTTCAGTTTTTTCACGCTCAAGAACTTTACCTTATCCTATTTCAAGGTTCACGATGAACTAAGTTAATTTTTAATCATGCCAAAAAGTAAAACTTTGCATACAAAAAAAGTAAGTAGTTAAATGATACTCCTTGAAAGCAAAGTATG